CCTGTTTCTCAGATATGAAGTATCTGGTTTTGGTGTGTCCAAAGCTCTGGTAACCAGTACAGTCTGATGTGTAAATAACAGTATGTTGATCCTACATAGTATACACGATATCTTGTATAGTTTAGAAGATATCTCATAAAATTTTCTGCATAAGATATCTTACAAATTATATGAGATATATCTATACTACTAAAGGAAGAGACCGAGTTCAATGAGCCGCAACTCTTCTGAAACCATACAAAGTTGGAAATAATTGTGATATGACGTATAAATGTAGTGTTTTATACTTCCTAAATTTGTCTTTGAAACAATCTTTTTTCCACAGAAAACGCCAATTTTTTGAGAAAATATCCAAATTCGGAGAGCATGCTCAGTTGACGCAGAGAATTATATACTAATGTTTTTGTATGTCTCTGGTCAACGTACTGCCCGCGTAATCCAAGTGAAAGTAAGAAGAAAGAATAGAAAATAGGACAGTTAGGCCTATAAGGATCCTGTGTATTGTATTGTAAGTGCATCATTTTGCTAAATTAAACGACATCCACCTTTTTTTACTCAGGTGCAGAACTGTCCAAAAATGAAATGGGCGTTGAATGTGTTGAAGTGATCCTCCCCCCTTTTTATGTGTAAACACAGGCACCCTTGACTCTCTTTGTTTCAACACTTGCCCAATTGTACCGCGATTTCGCGGGCATCTTCTAGTTATAATAAACTATATGAGATATCTAATAAACTATATAAAATATCTTATAAACTATATAAGATATCTTATAAACTATATGAGATATCTTATATAAAAATATTTAAAGTATATAAGACATTGTAAGATATCTGATAAAAACTAGATTATAAGAGATATCTTATATATTATATAAGATATCTCATATATTATATAAAATATCTCATATAGTTTATTAGATATCTCATCCAATGATATGTCATCATTCAAGATTGCATAAGAACTTTATGCCGAATGACTGAAGTGTATATTTGTCTGTATATGTAAAAAAAAAAAACTTTTTTGTTCTGTTCCTATTTCGTCTATTCTTTTTGTTGTGTGATATTTAGTTAATTTTGTGTATTCATTATATCTCTATTATGAGGAAATAAAGACATGAATGAATGAATGAATCATAAACTATATGATATCTCTTAAACTATATGAGATATCTTATAAACTATTTAAGATATCTTATAAAATATAGGAGATATCTTATGAAGTATATATAAGATATCTGATATAAATTTTTTTTATAAGATATCTTATAAAAACTAGATTATATAAGATATCTGATATATTATATGAGATATCTTGTAGTTAGAATAAATAGTAAAACAGCTTGCCATACAACTGGCCTAAATTAAGAGAATGATGTGGCGAGAAGTTATCTCGAGAAAAAATACATCATAACTTTAAAAATACAGAAGAGCATACACCTCAAGTTCTGTTTGACTGGCCCGATTGTAAATATACTGGCTACAGGCCAGCGGTTACATCAAACCCTATAAATAATTTCACCCATTAAATAATGTTTAATTAGAAGTAATAGTTAAGTCTGCTAAAAGAACCATGAAAATTTCAATCAACCAGTATTTGCCAGTATTGACCTGGCATGCAAGATCTAAATATAATAGACTACTCATACTAGTGTTTGAAAACTGGATACGTATGCATGTTTTTAATTAATAAAACTTGTAAATGATAGTGATGTGAATCGTTCATATTTTTCAAATCCCTTAAAATCAGTGTATAACATAGATCAATAACCAATACAATTTATTTTTTCTGTTGGGTTTCATATAACTAACAACCAATCAAATTGATGACTCAACTGTTTCCTGTTTGGGGAAATTTTTGTCTTTTTTCTCCAAAAGTCATGAATAAGTTTTAATCAACCCTAACTTTCTTAATACTCTAGTAGATTTATCAACTCACTTTGTTAAATAACACCACTGTTTGCTTCAAAAAAATTGATTATTAGGTCACATGATCAGTCCAAATATATAATGTGACATGAGAAAAAAATTCTAGAAAAATTTTAAAAATTCAAGAAAGAAGCCATAATTTGAAACTACATTTTGTAAATGTAAAATGTCTCATGACAAAAGTGTAAAAAAGAATGAAAAACATTGTTGTGTATTCCATGTAAACAAGATACTTGAGTGGTCTATTGATATGGAAAAAAAACTGCATTTTAACAGCCCATCCCTACAAACCACTGGCCACTGTCTCTGAAAAAAGTACCTAAAGACCTTAAGATTCTGCAGTTGTCCATCTCACTGAAAATTGTTATATCGTAAAACTTAATTAGTTTATCTACAATATGATGTATGACAGGCTTATTTCTGTTGTTATAATCATATTTTTCAATTTTCTGCTTTATTGCATGAAGATGCAAAAAGTGAAGTACAAATGTATATCATTAATTTGGGCTAGTTGGTATGAATATGGATTAATCATAATAAATTTCAATGAATTTGTATAATTGCTTAATAAGGTTCTATGACTATGATAATACTCCTGATAAAACATCCTTGAAATTACATGATGTTCATTTGTCTAACTTAAGATAAGTGACAAACAAAATCGGTCGACAGATCCATTAACCTATGTACTGTTAAATTGAAAAATGGATATGCTCAAAATAACTGTTGACCTCTCTTGTTGAATTCCTCCCATGTATCCAGCTGTCTACAATTGTTTTATCTGTCATTTAATGAAGACTAAATAAGTTGTATAAACAGTACATACAATGACATTTATAAATTGTATTTGACACTTTGACAAATGCAGCAGTTGGACATGTATTACATTTAAAATGGCAATAGCTTCAATTTGTAATTTAATTTGGCTTTCCGGTTGTTTTAAGTTGAAGGCCATGGCAAATCACATCTATGTTTACAGTTTTTTTTTCTAAAGAAAAACAAAGAGAGAGTGGGACCAAGAATTTTTATTTATTTTTTCATTAACAAGTTATTTGTTATAAAAGATTTCCTTTGTTTTTAATATGGTTTGGTTGCTAATATTTCATTGAAGACTACACAATATCTACCTTCACCATATTCCAAAGTTTTCTGTACTATATTGCATTGGATTATCACCTCATTATTCCTGAAGAATGTTTTGTAATGAGTAAGAGATACAGATTTGTTGATGATAATTGATTGATTTAGGACATTTTCAGCACAAATCGTCATGCTCCACTGTGTATATAATAGGGTTTTGTGTTAACATGAAGAACCCTTATAATTGTATGTCTTACTACTAGTCATAGTGGTAGGTCAATATATAGTTTTCTACATATCCATCCATCCTTTATATGATCTTTAATCCACATCTCTTTCAAAACTGCCTTGTAGATTTCACCAAAACTTCTTTCATCACATTTTCTCTTTGTAGTGAAGTCATAAATCTAAATTTAGTTTCAGTATTAACTATTTAGGCTTCATATTTTGAGATTTTAGATAAAAGGATTCCTATATTTCATGAGATAAACATTGAACTACTTTAACCTGTTTTTTTCCTTCAATCCCTTATTAAAATTGTAAAGTATGGCATGTGGGCGGGTTGGCGGCAGGGAGTTGCCAACAGTTTCTGTCCAATAACTAATAAACAGTTCAACCAATGCTTTTCAAATTCAAGTTCGATGATGATATTCACTTTTGCTGTTCAGGTCTTCATGGTCTTTGATAGAGTGGAAAATGGCACTTTATGTTGTTTATGTGCAATAATTTATGAACCATTCAACCATTGCTTTGCAAATTCTGATATGTTCATACTGATGATGAAATTAAGTCAAGTTCTTAGTTCTACATTTCTGGGGGTATGGACCTTGATAGATTGGAAACTGGCACTTTATGTACAGACAGGTACACTCAGAATGTGTGAAGTTAAACAAGCATGAAAGCGCCATACATAAGAATAAACACTATCATGATTATTGAGATTACATAATTAATATTGCCTGTCCTACATGTAATACAGAGATCTGTATCACTTTTTACCTGAACGAATAGGTGAGATATTTTATCACTATAAAATTAATATAAGAATTTTGACTATTTTAAAAAATCAAGTTTTAATATTTTTCTGACATCAATGGACATAGCGAGTTAACCATAATTTAGTATCTTTTTACTAGTTCAACTTCCCTATGTTAAAAACTACTTTTACCTCCAGATATTAGACTATCTTTTAAACAATTGTTTTCTCTTCTATTCTATTTTTTTGTGAAAACCATTCAAAGTTGAAAAATATGAAATGAGAATGCAAAGAAGTGTTACTGGTTACAAGAGCGCAATTATTTGTTTACATTTTACCAGCAAATTTTTTACCCAAAGATGGTACTCAGAATAGAATCCTGTACGGCTTCTGATTGGATGATACAGGATTGGAATTACTTTTAATCGAAAGCTTATCCAATTAGGTTTAAAAAATCCAGAAAATCAAATTCACATTTTACAAAGTATAGAAAATATCTGCCATTTCTTCACGTCGGAGCCATTAAAAATATGCCTTTTTCATTAAGCGAAAAAATACACGATCTTTTTCAACTGCATTTTAAGTCAATTTTTGCTGCATGACCATATATATATTTTTTTTGGTTTTTATGCAACACTGGCATTTCTTGTAACAGGAACTGCTACCCGTTTTTTCCTAGTTTGTGTAGTCTTCGAGAAATAAAATACGGAACACCACTGGTACCCTATGGAAAATGCATTACGAATAATTGCACTCTTGTAACCTACATGTATACCTTGTAAAACATTTGTTTTTTTCCTTTTGAATTTTCTTTCTAGCAGATAACTTAAAATATTGCAAAATTGAGTTGTTGTTTTTTTTAACATAACTTTATTGCATTAAATTATCATTGCATCTAACATTGGTTATCGCTGTCAGTTAAACTATTCTATTGCATGAAGTTCACTCAAAAACTATTATAACTTGAAAAACAAAAGAAACACATGTTAAACAATTACCATCCAAGGTGAATATATTGATAAGTACTGTCTGATACTACTAATCTAATGCTAATTATCATGCATACTGCAGGATTCATGGGTCGTGAAGTAAAGATGTACACATGACCCAATTTTACTAGTTTATTTACAAATACCAAGGCTATTTGTGAGAATTGTGATTTATTCATGTAAAAACTGGAAAGAGTAATAGTTTTGTCTCATGGTTTGTCACATTTAATTCTTATATTTATTATTACTTTCATATTGCAATTTATCATAACTTTTATGGATAATCCAGTTTATGGACATTTTTTTACCTTTTTTTACAGTAAGGAAAGATGACTACTGTTACTGGAAATGACTATTACCCAAAAGAACCAAAGAGCACCAAAAACCAATACAATATTAACGGCAATGGGAAATTGGGTAAGCTTGTAATTACAAATAGAGATAATAAAAGTATGAAATTATTATTATTGTTCTACATTGTGTATTTGAATGTATATTTTGTAAAGTGATATGCACGATTTATGAACCATGATCAGGGTTTCAAAAAATAATCTGAGCGGGACTATGAACTGTCAGAAATATAGTTATAAAAATCAGAATTTTGAATAAAGTTGTTTACTTTGGAATGTGTCTTTTCCTGTACAGAATAAAATCTCTTGACAAATAACTTTTAATTATGCCCCACCTACGATAGTAGAGGGGCATTATGTTTTTAGGTCTGTGCGTTTGTTCGTCCATCCGTCTGTCCCACTTCAGGTTAAAGATTTTGGTCAAGGTAGTTTTTGATGAAGTTGAAGTCCAATCAACTTGAAACTTAGTACACATGTTCCCTATGATATGATCTTTCTAATTTTATTGCCAAATTAGAGTTTTGACCCTAATTTCACGGTCCACTGAACATAGAAAATGATAGTGCGAGTGGGGCATCCGTGTACTATGGACACATTCTTGTTTTTTACCTGAATTAAAGTTGTCCAATTGTTCTAAGATTGAAAAATTATTAAAAATGTGAAGAACATCTGGTGGAGTGAATGTTTGGATGAAAAGTGCTCAGACATTGTGTCATTTATATCAAGGCATTAGGTAGCAATACACAGTTAGAAGTTAAGTTTCGCATTATGGCCATGGTGAATTTTTTAAATATGAAAGTTTTTGTACAATAAAATTGATTTTTAGATAGTTGAAGAATAATATAGCCTTCGAGGTGGGTTTATATGGACATTTAGATTGTTTTTAGCATGTTTTATAGGCCACTTTTCTGTTTGACAGTCCATATTTTCCTATCCGTACCGCCCATAGGTCCAGAAATTATTGTAGTGTTTATCAACAAAGATTTGACGCTCGATCTTTTCAATTCAATTTTATGGAAAAACAAGCAGAAAGGCATATGAATTTTTTTGGACCTCTTGATAGATAAATGTCTATGGTTTCAGGAAAGGTATCACTCTAATTGATTGAAATTTTCCTTTTGACCAAATTTTGGAGACTTGTGTGACATTTTCAACCCCCTTTTTGCAATATTTTGTTTCAAATAAATGCAGATTGTTGCCATGGTTACACCAAAAAGAGATTATATTTCACCTTTTTAACTATTGAAAATGAAATCTATGGAAGATGCTCTTTCCAGAAATATACACATGCGTAACACAAATAGTAAGCCTTGCTAGGAAGGAAAAGAGGGTGGTTAAAAATTATGAGTGTCAAATTTAAGATTTTTCCTAACTGTGTATTGCTACCTTATGGCATTTGACAAAATACAGAATTACTTTTTTTTAGACAAATCATACCACAAATCTATTGATATTTAGATTATAGATACAATTCTGAGGGAGAAACATCTTTTAGTATGACAATATATGTTAGTTTTGTTGTTTATTGTCATTAGCAACCAATATAGACATTTTGACACAAAGACTTGGTTCGGTCATAAATTGATACTTTATTGGCTACCCCTAGGAAAAGAAAGAATGCGCGTTATGTAGAAACCTCAATAGGGAACGCTTTATATTTTTTCATGCAAATAAATCAAATTTATTATTTTAGCAAGTATAAAGTTACAATTTAGCATGAATTAAATCTTAATTTGTTCCCGCTGTTATAGATTAATTCAGTATTGGCTAAATTTTAACCAAGGCTTTGGTGTGCTAATACACTACAAAATTGACATTCTAGAGCTTTAAAATAGCTTTAATTTGTAAAATTTGTCTACTGTTAAGGTTAATTTAAGTTTTTAAACAAGAAAAGACAAGCACAGAAGGTATAGTTTTAGAAATTTGACTAAAAAAGGAGAATTCACACTTTAACATGGGATGTTTCTTCAAATCTCTTTTTTGTTGCATATCAGTGGCAACTGCTAACCTTCATAAAATATTCATTTCTGAACCAATTTTCAAAACTTGCAGGCCAATTTGCTCGGCTTAGCTAGCAGAACACAGAAATCAATTTAAAGTGGAATTTGAAAAAAAAAATGTTTATCCTTAAGGTAGCAATACACAGTTAGAAGTTTAGTTTCGCATTATGGCCATTGTGAATTTTTTAAATATGAAAGTTTTTGTGCAATAAAATTGATTTTTAGATAGTTGAAGAATAATATAGCCTTTGAAGTGGGTTTATATGAACATTTAGATTGTTTTTAGCATGTATAGGCCACTTTTCTGTTTGACCGTCCGTATTTTCCTATCCGTACTGCCCATAGGACCAGAAATTATTATAGTGTTTATCAACAAAGATTTGACGCTCGATCTTTTCAATTCAATTTTATGGAAAAACAAGCAGAAAGGCATATGAATTTTTTTGGACCTCTTGATAGATAAATGTCTATGGTTTCAGGAAAGGTATCACTCTAATTGATTGAAATTTTCCTTTGGACCAAATTTTGGAGACTTTTGTGACATTTTCACCCCCCTTTTTGCAATATTTTGTTTCAAATAAATGCAGATTGTTGCCATGGTTACACCAAAAAGAGATTATATTTCACCTTTTTAACTATTGAAAATGAAATCTATGGAAGATGCTCTTTCCAGAAATATACACATGCGTAACACAAATAGTAAGCCTAGCTAGGAAGGAAAAGAGGGTTGTTAAAAATTATGAGTGTCAAATTTAAGATTTTTCCTAACTGTGTATTGCTACCTTATGGCATTTGACAAAATACAGAATTGCTTATTTTTAGACAAATCATACCACAAATCTATTGATATTTAGATTATAGATACAATTCTGAGGGAGTAACATCTTTTAGTATGACAATATATGTTAGTTTTGTTGTTTAAATTTTTGTCATTAGCAACCAATATAGACATTTTGACACAAAGACTTGGTTCGGTCATAAATTGATACTTTATTGGCTACCCCTAGGAAAAGAAAGAATGCGCGTTATGTAGAAACCTCAATAGGGAACGCTTTATATTTTTTCATGCAAATAAATCAAAGGAGTAGGTCCGGTAAGGGCCGATTTTGGCCCCAAATTTCAGGTTCATCTGATGAAAGATTTTGGACACTTTGTAAACATTCAAGTGTCTACTTTAGTAGAATCAATTTATTTATGTGAAAGATTTGAACTGATTTAGTCATTAAAAACGCTCATATTCAAGCTTAAATGTTATAAATCTATCAAATATGCCATAATATGTCACTTTTCAGATGGTTTTTGTCAAAAATGAAAGTGGCCGCATCCGTGTTCATCCTCAACCTTTATATATGTTATGTATTATCATCAAATACAACTTACATTTAAATATTAAGAATGAACACAAATGCGGCCACGTCCATTTAAAACGGAAACCATCTAAAAATTAACTCAAATGCTAAAATTATGAAGATTTCAGTAATTTAGCATAACTTAATGATGCTAGTACCCGATAAATATGCATTGTATTATCAAAAACAGCCCATATGTATGTGACAGAAGTATTCTACTTTCAAATGAATAGCTAAAAGTTTACATTTTAACAATTTTGTAAAACTGCTATATTTTGGGGCCAAAAAGGGGTCTTACTGAACCTACTCCTTTATTATTTTAGCAAGTATAAAGTTACAATTTAGCATGAATTAAATCTAAATTTGTTCCCGCTGTTATAGATTAATTCAGTATTGGCTAAATTTTAACCAAGGCTTTGGTGTGCTAATACACTACAAAATTGACATTCTAGAGCTTTAAAATAGCTTTAATTTGTAAAATTTGTCTACTGTTAAGGTTGATTTAAGTTTTTAAACAAGAAAAGACAAGCACAGAAGGTATAGTTTTAGAAATTTGACTAAAAAAGGAGAATTCACACTTTAACATGGCATGTTTCTTCAAATCTCTTTTTTGTTGCATATCAGTGGCAACTGCTAACCTTCATAAAATATTCATTTCTGAACCAATTTTCAAAACTTGCAGGCCAATTTGCTCGGCTTAGCTAGCAGAACACAGAAATCAATTTAAAGTGGAATTTGAAAAAAAAAATGTTTATCCTTAAGGTAGCAATACACAGTTAGAAGTTTAGTTTCGCATTATGGCCATTGTGAATTTTTTAAATATGAAAGTTTTTGTACAATAAAATTGATTTTAGATAGTTGAAGAATAATATAGCCTTTGAAGTGGGTTTATATGAACATTTAGATTGTTTTTAGCATGTATAGGCCACTTTTCTGTTTGACCGTCCGTATTTTCCTATCCGTACCGCCCATAGGTCCAGAAATTATTATAGTGTTTATCAACAAAGATTTGACGCTCGATCTTTTCAATTCAATTTTATGGAAAAACGAGCAGAAAGGCATATGAATTTTTTTGGACCTCTTGATAGATAAATGTCTATGGTTTCAGGAAAGGTATCACTCTAATTGATTGAAATTTTCCTTTGGACCAAATTTTGGAGACTTTTGTGACATTTTCACCCCCCTTTTTGCCATATTTTGTATCAAATAAATGCAGATTGTTGCCATGGTTACACCAAAAAGAGATTATATTCACCTTTTTAACTATTGAAAATGAAATCTATTGAAGATGCTCTTTCCAGAAATATACACATGCATAACATAAATAGTAAGCCTTATTTATTAGCTAGGAAGGAAAAGAGGGTGGTTAAAAATTATGAGTGTCAATTTTAAGATTTTTTCCTAACTGTGTATTGCTACCTTACATCTTTCTGTAGCTACTTGTATCCTATGATTATTTTCTTCAAAATTTTAGCATGAACTACACATCAGAGCTTCCTGATAGGTATCAAGCTTCATATAAGCATATACAATGTGTTGAGTTTTCACATTCATCACTCATCCTTTTAACTGAATACCTACATACTATGGATTCATTTTATATTCGTTGCCTTGGATACCATTTGTTGTGGGTATAGGTAAACCACAAAGATGTTTAAAGAAGTACCAATTATCTAAAGGTTTGATGAAAACTAGGAAATCAAATATCCAGGAAAATACTATTTCCCTCAATCGCCTAAAATTGGTCCCCACGAAAAGTAAATGAACCTACTGTTTTCTTATTCATAATGGCCATGCATGAAATTTTGTTGCATTTGTCAGGAACTACAGATCAGGGCTTGCTGGAATTTGGTATCAAATTTTATTGAAGCATGTTTTATGACATCCATAGCTCATCATCTTCCTGTTAAGCAAATAATTTGAGCGGGGTAACATTAGTGGGCAATAGCTCACATTTCATTTTGTTTTAAATATGTGTTGACATATTTATGATATTATTAAGCATTTATTCTTTATGTTTTTTTCAAATTTCGTATTTTAGGTGATGATGATAAAGATGCTTTCTTGCCACCCGTTAAATTGGAACCAGGGTTAGATTCCCTGAACAGAAACCCAGAGGAATTTGATGAATTAGATCCTTCAGAGGATAATGCTCCTCCAGACAGGTGATATTAATTTATAGAATTATTTCTCAAGTATACCCTAATATCCAGAAAGAGTTGAATAGAAGATAGGCTATCTCAACAATCTTTTTTTAAGACCATGAGTAATTAGAAAAAGGCTTGACTCATTAAATGGACACAAAGCACATTAAACTAACAAAAAAAAAGACACATAGGACCGATCTAAGAGTATCTGCAAGGAATATGAATGCTTTTTGTGACTAAGTGTGCTCATAGTATCAATGGGGCATCACTTATTGATATTAGGGTATACTTGAGAAATAATTCATGTAATCCATAGATTTGTTGGAAATATTCACATGGCCTGGGCCGTTATATTCGAATTTTATCTCGAGCGTTAGCCATGTGAAAATGATTACAAATCTATGGCATGCATGAATTATTTCAATTCTAATAGGACAAATACGGTAATTTGAAAATTTGAAGCGAAGGTAAATTGCCGTGTGTATGGCTGTTCTATTTTACCCCCTGTAAGATAAAAGCTACAAATTTCAAATAAGCCTAAGGCTTGCATGAATTATTTCTTAAATAAACACTAGAAAAAATGTGTTCAATTCTTATAATTCTTAACCCAATAATTTTTTTTCATTGGCTACTTTTTATTGTCAAATCCACAAATGACATATCGTAACTAAGGTGTCAGCCACCATGTTGATTTGCTGAAATCCATGAATGTGCGAATGATGCAATAGAATAGAAAATGAAACAACACCTACCTCAAAACTCCATTTTAATCTGAATTTAGAGCATACACGTAACAGAATAGTCTTCAGCTTCAGAGTTTTCATTGGTATGACGTCATGTGTTGACATGATGTTAATGCGCCAAAATCATTCATGAAATTTTGGGGAATTTCATTTTATTTTGATTTTATACATTTTTTGATATCTTGTGCATTAATTCTTTTGTTATGCATTAGAATAAGAATAACGGTTCTGTAGTTTCTTTTTCAATTTCAATTTGAACACAACGAAATCCACATAGTGTTTGCACATAGCTTACGATACATGTGGCTCTACGTGGGAGGTAAAGATTAACAGCCATTAATATGTACATCTCTGAGTCTGTGCTAAGTATAGATATATTGAGAGTTTTATCACGCTGTTGTTTACAAAGGGAAAGAAGCGCGTCATATTAGAATTTTGAACAAGTTAATCAATGTTTATTTTTACCATTGCTGTACAGGTACAGTATTTGTATTCTGATTATATGGAAAAAATTTCAAAGATACTTTTTTTAATTTAATTTAATTTCATTTCATTTTTATTACTTTTTATTTTAATTTTTTATTCAGTATTTGTATTTCATGTGTATTTTGATGCCATGAAATATGAGGTCAATATTACCTTTAAACTTTTGTGTTTTGTTTCAGGTATCGTATTGTGTTCTTCATCATGTTGGTTCACGGTATTGGTATTTTGATGCCATGGAATATGTTAATCAATGCTCAAGCAGTAAGTTTGTAATAAGATTCTTAACTACAATGTATAGACCCAAACAAACAAACAAACAAGCAAAAAAGCGTAGTTTTGCCAATGATTTTGAATGATGGTATTGATTCAACTTGGATAAAAGTTTTTTTGACTTGTTTTTTTTTATGTTAAACTTGCTGTATGAAAATAATAAGATGCTGTATGATATCCAATGAGACAACTCTCCACCAGGCACCAAATGACGTAAAAGTTGGCATTTATAGATAGCTCTAAGGCCTTCAACAATGAGCAAAACCCATACCATATAGCAAGCTATAGAAGGCCCTAAAATGACAAATGTAAAAAAATTCGAACAAAGACACTAACGTCCTGATTTATGTTCAAAACATGTTTCACAATGGCAGAGCATGTATTACTTTTTATTAACTTACCTTACCTTGAGATATTGCCAAACTCCCATTTGTGCTACAAGGGGTTAGTATGAGTAAAAGTTACATGTCTGTGAATGAAAATGAATAAGAAATCAATTGATGTATGATTTATATACTTGAAAATGGATCTTTTATGAGATAAAAACTAGCCACCACAAGCCCAAGATTTCCATGTTTTCTATATAAACTGTGAAATGATTTTCCATGGCCCCAACAAGTCCTAAAAAGGCCATCAGACTTCAGAGCAATCTTATTATCTCAGGCTATCATAGAGCTTGACAAATTGTATAGACACTTGTCTCTTGTTGAGGGCTAAATCTTCCACTTCATTGACTTTGGTCAAGTTTATATCCAGGGTTCATATTTCAGTCACTTTACATAAAAGAATCATTGATACCCTGTGGAATGAAGGTCATCACCATTTGAAAATATTGTAGAGAATGAGACAAACTGTTATAGTAAAATAGCTATGTTTGCATAAAGGTTTTATTGAAGGTTTTTTCATTAAAATATTTTCTTGTATCATATTTGATAAATATAAATACATCTTTTACAGTACTTTGAAAACTACAAGCTGTCTGAAAACACAACAGAAGTGAATAACTTGCGATCAAATTTTATGTTCTCCATTGGTATAGCATCACAAGTTCCAAACTTCATCATGAGTGGAGTTAACGCATTCGTCCAGTGTGGAGGGTATGAAAACTGTCTTAACATTGAGCTTATTAAATCTACAAACTCATTGCACTTATAAAATCTACAAACATTATATCACCAAAAATGTTTTTAAAAAGAACATTTAGACAGCACTTTGTCTATTTGAAGCAAACTACATCATGTACATGTAAAGTCAAGTTCAACTCTAATTGTTGACAAAATAAATTCTAGAGTTATGCCCCTTCAGTTGTCTCCAATGGTATAAACATTCTGATTTGCAACCGTACGACCTTTGTTAAAATTTAGTTTAAGTTCGAAGGGCCAAGTGAGCTTTTCTCATCACTTGGCGTCCGTCGTCGGCGTTAACTTTTTATACGACGGCAAAAAAATTTTTGTGGTCGTATATTGGTATGACGTTGGCGTCGTCGTCGTCGTCCGGCGTCGTCCGAAGACACATTGGTTTTCGCACTCTAACTTTAGTTTAAGTGAATGGATCTTTATGAAATTTTACCACAAGGTTCAATACCACAAAAGGAAGGTTGGGATTGATTTTAGGGGTTATGGTAATAACAGTAAAGGAATTAGGGGCCAAAAAGGGGCCAAAAATAAGCATTTTTGTAACTTCCAGACATAACTTGTGTGTTAGTGTATGGATCTCTCTGACATTGTACCACAAGGTTCCATATCACTAAAGGAATGCTGGGATTGATTTTGGGGGTAATTGCCTCAAAATTTTAGGAATTAGGGGCCAAAAAAGGGGCAAAAAACAAGCATTTTTCTAGTTTCATGACAATAACTTGTGTGTAAGTGTATGGATCTTTCTGAAATTGTACTACAAGGTTCCATATCACAAAGGGAAAGCTGGGTTTGAGTTTGGGGGTAATTGCCCTAAACGTTTAGGAATTTGGGGCCAAAAAGGGGCCAAAAAACACATTTTATTCTAGTTTCCAGACAATAACTTGTGTTCAAGTGTATGGATCTCTCTGAAATTGTACTGCAAGGTACCATACCACAAAGGGAAGGCTGGGATTGAGTTTGGGGATGATGAATCATAATGGGGGTTCAAAAAATTTTGGGGGGGATTTATTTTTTTTTCCTTTTTTTTCTTTTTTTCCTTTTTTGTTTCTTTTAAAATTTTCCATTTTAAGTTGGTTATTTCTGATTTATATTTAAAATCAAATAATAATGATATGGTAGGAGATACACACCAAACAGGATGTGTAAATTATTATATAATAAGTATTGTGCAATAGCAAGAAATTTTCAATTGCACAGTATTGCACAATAGCAAGAAATCTTCAATTGCACAGTATTGCGCAATAGCAAGAAATCTTCAATTGCACAGTATTGTGCAATAGCAAGAAATATCCAATAGCACAATATTGCGCAATAGCAAGAAATTGTCAATTGTACAGTATTGCGCAATAGCAAGAAATATTTAATAGCACAGGATTGTGCAAAAGAAGATACTTCCTATAAATTGCTTATTTCTTGACCAATTTCAATGGGGTTTTATTCTTGATTTCATGGGGTTCTTTAATATGCTGAATCTAACCGTGTATTTAGTTTTTGGATTTTGGGCCCCGTTTTTAAATTGGTCCACATTGAGGTCCAAAGGGTCCAAAATTAAACTTTGTTTGATTTCATCAAAAATTGAATTATTGGGGTTCTTTGATATGCCGAATCTAACTGTGTATTTAGATTCTTAAATTTTGGTTCCGTTTTCAAATTGGTCTACATTAAGGTCCAAAGGGTCCAAAATTAAACTTAGTTTGATTTTAACAAAAATTGAATTCTTAGGGTTCTTTGATATGCTGAATCTAAACATGTATTTAGATTTTTGATTATGGGCCCAGTTTTCAAGTTGGTCCAAATCGGGGTCCAAAATTAAACTTTGTTTGATTTCAACAAAAATTGAATATATGGGGTTCTTTGATATGCTGAATCTAACCATGTATTTAGATTTTTGATTTTTGGGTCCCGTTATCAACTTTGTCCACATTGAGGTCAAAAGGGTCCAAAATTAAACTTTGTTTGATTTCATCAAAAATTGAATTATTGGGGTTCTTTGATATGCCGAATCTAACCGTGTATTTAGATTCTTAAATTTTGGTTCTGTTTTCAAATTGGTCTACATTAAGGTCCAAAGGGTCCAAAATTAAACTTAGTTTGATTTTAACAAAAATTGAATTCTTAGGGTTCTTTGATATGCTGAATCTAAACATGTATTTAGATTTTTGATTATGGGCCCAGTTTTCAAGTTGGTCCAAATCGGGGTCCAAAATTAAACTTTGTTTGATTTCAACAAAAATTGAATATATGGGGTTCTTTGATATGCTGAATCTAACCATGTATTTAGATTTTTGATTTTTGGGCCCCGTTATCAACTTTGTCCACATTGAGGTCAAAAGGGTCCAAAATTAAACTTTGTTTGATTTCATCCAAAATTGAATTATTGGAGTTCTTTGATATGCCGAATCTAACCGTGTATTTAGATTCTTAATTTTTGGTTCCGTTTTCAAATTGGTCTACATTAAGGTCCAAAGGGTCCAAAATTAAACTTAGTTTGATTTTAACAAAAATTGAATTCTTAGGGTTCTTTGATATGCTGAATCTAAACATGTATTTAGATTTTTGATTATGGGCCCAGTTTCAAGTTGGTCCAAATCAGGGTCCAAAATTAAACTTTGTTTGATTTCAACAAAAATTGAATATATGGGGTTCTTTGATATGCTGAATCTAACCATGTATTTAGATTTTTGATTTTTGGGTCCTGTTATCAACTTTGTCCACATTGAGGTCAAAAGGGTCCAAAATTAAACTTTGTTTGATTTCATCAAAAATTGAATTATTGGGGTTCTTTGATATGCCGAATCTAACCGTGTATTTAGATTCTTAAATTTTGGTTCTGTTTTCAAATTGGTCTACATTAAGGTCCAAAGGGTCCAAAATTAAACTTAGTTTGATTTTAACAAAAATTGAATTCTTAGGGTTCTTTGATATGCTGAATCTAAACATGTATTTAGATTTTTGATTATGGGCCCAGTTTTCAAGTTGGTCCAAATCGGGGTCCAAAATTAAACTTTGTTTGATTTCAACAAAAATTGAATATATGGGGTTCTTTGATATGCTGAATCTAACCATGTATTTAGATTTTTGATTTTTGGGCCCCGTTATCAACTTTGTCCACATTGAGGTCAAAAGGGTCCAAAATTAAACTTTGTTTGATTTCATCCAAAATTGAATTATTGGAGTTCTTTGATATGCCGAATCTAACCGTGTATTTAGATTCTTAATTTTTGGTTCCGTTTTCAAATTGGTCTACATTAAGGTCCAAAGGGTCCAAAATTAAACTTAGTTTGATTTTAACAAAAATTGAATTCTTAGGGTTCTTTGATATGCTGAATCTAAACATGTATTTAGATTTTTGATTATGGGCCCAGTTTCAAGTTGGTCCAAATCAGGGTCCAAAATTAAACTTTGTTTGATTTCAACAAAAATTGAATATATGGGGTTCTTTGATATGCTGAATCTAACCATGTATTTAGATTTTTGATTTTTGGGCCCCGTTATCAACTTTGTCCACATTGAGGTCAAAAGGGTCCAAAATTAAACTTTGTTTGATTTCATCAAAAATTGAATTCTTGGGGTTCTTTGATATGCTGAATCTAACCATGTATTTAGATTTTGGATATTGGACCATAATAGGTGAATGTCCAATTTAAAATTTTTAAGTTCTTAGACCACATTCAATCTGTGTTAGAAACCTATGCTGTGTCAAATATTTAATCACAATCCAAATCCAAAGCTGTATCAAGCTTGAATGTTGTGTCCATACTTCCCCCAACTGTTCAGGGTTTGACCTCTGCGGTCGTATCAAGCTGCACCCTGCGGAGCATTTTATTACATTTTGAACTTCTTCTAGAGAACCACTGAATGGAATGAAGCCAAACATGGCATGAATGTTCCTTATGAGGTGCTGACTAAGTGTTGTTACTTTGTAGCGAATCCATCATCCAAGATGGCCTCCAGCGGGGGACTTAGTTTAACATAGGACCCTATGGGAAATACATACAAATGTCTTCTTTTAGAGAACCACTGAATGGAATGAAGCCAAACATGGCATGAATGTTTCTTATGAGGTGCTGACCGAGTGTTGTTACTATGAAGCCGATCCATAATCCAAGATGGCCGCCAGCAGGGGACTTAGTTTAACATTGGACCTTATGGGAAATACATACCAATGTCTTCTTTTAGAGAACCACTGAATGGAATGAAACCAAACATGGTATGAATGTTCCTTATGAGGTGCTGACCGAGTGTTGTTACTTTGAAACCGATCCATAATCCAAGATGGCTGCCAGCGGGGGACTTAGTTTAACATGGGACCCTATGGGAAATACATACAAATGTCTTCTTTTAGAGAACCACTGAATGGAATGAAACAAAACATGGCATGAATGTTCCTTATGAGGTGCTGACCGAGTGTTGTTACTTTGAAGCCGATCCATAATCCATGATGGCCGCCAGCGGGGGACTTAGTTTAACATGGGACCCTATGGGAAATACATACAAATGTCTTCTTTTAGAGAACCACTGAATGGAATGAAACCAAACATGGTATGAATGTTCCTTATGAGGTGCTGACCGAGTGTTGTTACTTTGAAGCCGATCCATAATCCAAGATGGCTGCCAGCGGGGGACTTAGTTTAACATGGGACCCTATGGGAAATACATACAAATGTCTTCTTTTAGAGAACCACTGAATGGAATGAAACAAAACACGGCATGAATGTTCCTTGTGAGGTGTTGACCGAGTGTTGTTACTTTGAAGCCGATCCATAATCCAAGATGGCCGCCAGCGGGGGACTTAGTTTAACATGGGACCCTATGGGAAATACATATAAATGTCTTCTTTTAGAGAACCACTGAATGGAATGAAACAAAACATGGCATGAATGTTCCTTATGAGGTGCTGACCGAGTGTTGTTACTTTGAAGCCGATCCATAATCCAAGATGGCCGCCAGCGGGGGACTTAGTTTAACATGGGACCCTATGGGAAATACATATAAATGTCTTCTTTTAGAGAACCACTGAATGGAATGAAGCCAAACATGGCATGAATGTTCCTTGTGAGGTGCTGACCAAGTTTTGTTACTATGAAGCTGATCCATAATTCAAGATGGCCGCCAGCAGGGGACTTAGTTTAACATTGGACCCTATGGGAAATACATACAAATGTCTTCTTTTAGAGAACCACTGAATGGAATGAAACCAAACATGGTATGAATGTTCCTTATGAGGTGCTGACCGAGTGTTGTTACTTTGAAGCCGATCCATAATCCAAGATGGCCGCCAGCAGGGGACTTAGTTTAACATGGGACCCTATGGGAAATACATACAAATGTCTTCTTTTAGAGAACCACTGAATGGAATGGAACAAAACATGGCATGAATGTTCCTTATGAGGTGCTGACCGAGTGTTGTTACTTTGAAGCCGATCCATAATCTATGATGGCCGCCAGCTGGGGACTTAGTTTAACATGGGACCCTATGGGAAATACATACAAATGTCTTCTTTTAGAGAACCACTGAATGGAATGAAACCAAACATGGTATGAATGTTCCTTATGAGGTGCTGACCGAGTGTTGTTACTTTGAAGCCGATCCATAATCTATGATGGCCGCCAGCTGGGGACTTAGTTTAACATGGGACCCTATGGGAAATACATACAAATGTCTTCTTTTAGAGAACCACTGAATGGAATGAAACCAAACATGGTATGAATGTTCCTTATGAGGTGCTGACCGAGTGTTGTTACTTTGAAGCCGATCCATAATCCAAGATGGCCGCCAGCGGGGGACTTAGTTTAACATGGGACCCTATGGGAAATACATACAAATGTCTTCTTTTAGAGAACCACTGAATGGAATGAAACAAAACACGGCATGAATGTTCCTTGTGAGGTGTTGACCGAGTGTTGTTACTTTGAAGCCGATCCATAATCCAAGATGGCCGCCAGCTGGGGACTTAGTTTAACATGGGACCCTATGGGAAATACATATAAATGGCTTCTTTTAGAGAACCACTGAATGGAATGAAACAAAACATGGCATGAATGTTCCTTATGAGGTGCTGACCGAGTGTTGTTACTTTGAAGCCGATCCATAATCCAAGATGGCCGCCAGCGGGGGACTTAGTTTAACATGGGACCCTATGGGAAATACATATAAATGTCTTCTTTTAGAGAACCACTGAATGGAATGAAACCAAACATGGCATGAATGTTCCTTATGAGGTGCTGACCAAGTATTGTTACTATGAAGCTGATCCATAATCCAAGATGGCCGCCAGCAGGGGACTTAGTTTAACATTGGACCCTATGGGAAATACATACAAATGTCTTCTTTTAGAGAACCACTGAATGCAATGAAACCAAACATGGCATGAATGTTCCTTATGAGGTGCTGACCAAGTGTTGTTACTATGAAGCCGATCCATAATCTAAGATGGCCGCCAGCAGAGGACTTAGTTTAACATAGGACCCTATGAGAAATACGTACAAATGTTTTCTTTTAGAGAACCATTGAATGGAATGAAACCAAACATGGCATGCATGTTCCTTTTGAGGTGCTGACCAAGTGTTGTTACTTTGAAGCTGATCCTTCATCCATGATGGCTGCCAGATTGGGACAATGTTTAACAAAGGACCCTATGGACAATACATACAAATGTCTTCTTTTAGAGAACCACATACTGAATGGATTGAAACCAAACATGGCATGAATGTTCCTTATGAGGTGCTGACTACGTTTTGTTACTTTGAAGCTGATCCTTCATCCGTAATGGCCGCCAATGGGGGGACTTCCTTTAACATAAGACCCTATGGGAAATACATACAAATGCTTCTTCTAGAGGTGCACTGAATGGAATGAAACCAAAACATGGCATAAATGTTTCTTATGAGGTGCTGATTAAGTGTTGCTACTTTGTTGCCGATTTACTGTTCAAGATGGCCACCAGGATTTTTTATTAAATTACAGGACCAATATTAAACCAAATTTGGCCTCACTCATTATTAGGGTATCTGTTATGATTTTAATCTATTTTTACATGATTTCCAAAACCAAAGTAGAATCAGGTGAGCGACACAGGCTCTTGAGAGCCTCTAGTTTGGTGTTGCCACAATAACTGTTGAAGAGTAATAGCTTTGAGTTGTCTGACAATGGTCATGTCCTGATGATGAATTCAGAATTTTGGAGTAGGATCTTTTAATTTAAACATTACTACCTAACATCCAGGCATTCCAACATCCATCCGAATTCTGATAGCAAAAAAATCTTATTCAAAAGACTCTGTATACATACTATTAGTACTTTATTGTAATTATATTACAAAATAATGATCTAATGATGCTAGTATTACTAGACTTGCAATTGCTTACATCAATCCAAATGAGGCGCCACCTGCAATTCTTATCAGGAGTAATGACTGACTTTTGTTTCTCATTTCACCTCTGCCAAAATTACTGTTGCAGAGTTATGTGCCTTGAATTGTTTCAAAATAGTAAAAGCAGTTTCTTATCATAACTTAAGTTTTTTTAAACTGGAATCTTACTGCGTATTACATTGACTTAGAGATGAAAGAAGGTACATTTTAGAGCTATTTGACCCTGTTAATTTACCAAAATTATGCAATCTTGAAAGTAATATATATTTGATTTAACTTCAAAAGAAAGTCTTATAGAAGAGGTAAACATAACCTTAGTTTTGAAAGCACACCATTAATGTGATGTCGAGGGGAAGATAAACAAATTCATTAAAGGAATGTCAGAAATTTGGTCAGACCTACGTTAATAATTCATTTGAGCGACCAAAATAATTTGGATAAAATTTGGAAAAATTACTAGTTTTCCTCAAAACTGGTTCTGAATAATAGTCTGTATCAAGTATGTAGCGCAACTTTAAAACACAATAAAACTTTAAAAAACATTTAGAGGTCAACATATTGGCTTCATTGAGTCATTAGTTTGCATTTATAATATCTGTTTTATTGTATGTTGTTAAAAAATTTCATGATTGCTTTTCATATAAACGGAAAGAGAGCTAATAATCCTTTGTTTGTCACAAAAACTTTGTATTTAAATTTTGTGTATTAACTGTTTATCAGATTATATAATTCTTGTTAAAGTATGTGATTGATAAAAGTTAATTTTGATTTTTTTTTGCAGACAAGCCTCCCCAAGAAGGATAGCTATCTCCATAGTGATTATGACCATGATTTTTATTGGTACTGTTGTACTAGCCATGTTGGACAGTTCCTCATGTAAGAGATATATTTAATGCATGAAAAATTACATAAGTTAAAAAATCCCTGATTGTATGGCCTAAATAACTACACATCTACACTCAAGTATTGTAAGTGTGTGCACCTTCCAAATCTGTGCATCAATTGACATACACATAATCACAATTCAACAGTGTATAACAGGCACATTCTATTGTGAATTTTCCTGTACATTTGTATTAAATAAATGTATAAATTTAATAAGGATGCATTGCACTGATGACCTTCATCAGGTCTTCTTTAGACCAAAATTTTAGGAAACCAAGTACACAGATGTGATAAATGTGAGAATAATTATTTACATACATTTGTAGCAGTTTTATCAATGTTGATATGTTAAATAAATGGGGTGATATGTTATGAAAGGACCAGCAATGTTTTTTATGCCCCATTTATGGGCATTATGTTTTTTGGTCTGTACGTCCGTTCATCCGTCCGTCTGTCCCGCTTCAGGTTAAAGTTTTTGGTCAAGGTAGTTTTTGATGAAGTTGAAGTCCAATCAACTTGAAACTTTGTACACATGTTCCCTATGATATGATCTTTCCAATTTTAATGCAAAATTAGAGTTTTTACCCCAATTTCACGGTCCACTGAACATAGAAAATGATAGTGCGAGTGGGTCATCCATGTACTATGGACACAATCTTGTTTTTGACAGTATCTGTACCAGTATCTCATTACACTTGTTTCTGAACAAACTATATACATGTGCAGTCTGTTATGACTCCATATTGTAGCATACTAGGCATGTCAAGTATATTATTAGTCCAGAGTTTTTTGTGGTACAAAATACATTTGGGATATTACTGTTGATAGAACTTTGTTCCAACAAACATCCATTAAACATGTGATTTTAATATAAAATCACTGCTGCTGATCAATCCATGTTATATACAATTTTTATCATAGATTGTATTCATTATTTTCACACTTTTCTCTTCAAATTTGTGCCTAGCTTACAAACCAAATAAAATTCTGAGAAATGTCTGATTATTTTGCAATTGTTCAAAATAAAGATCAAAATTACTTCTGACAAGTGAATCAGACTCGAAACATAAAATTATGAGCTTTCAGTGGAGTGTGAAATGATATCTCTGATTATCAGTTTCATCCAGAATGTATGTATTAAAATAAGGAAGTCCTTATAAAATATCTTTTTTTCCATATAAATTCTTTTTATGACATATATACAATTATTTTTCCAGGGTCAGTTGAATTCTTCTATATTACAATGATAATGGCTGCAGTTCTAAACAGTAAGTTATATATGACAAGACTAAATCATTAAAATCTCTTAAACTAGTGTCAATAATTAAGTTTAAGTTTTTGTTTTTGTAAGATACCTTAATACCATTTTGCATAACTGTTTGGGTTTTTATGGTGTAAGCTTCATCTGTTTGTATCTCTGAGGAAGACCATGGTTCATTATAAGGCTGATAAAAGTAGAAAAATCTGACCCAACTACAAGCTATCATGATACCAGCAGTACACAATATATAGACGAACTAACATCAGTATAGAATAACTAATCACAGAATTCAAATATTGGAAAAAAGTCAAGTGAAAATACAGTGCATTAATTCACTAATCATCACTGTTGTTCAATCAAGATTTTTAGTGTAAATAAAGTAGAAAATTTGAGGAACTATATGTATCTTTTTCTACATGTTTCTCACTTCTTTTTGATGCAAAGTCATTAATGCATCTTGACAACACCTATTATTGTATTATATCAAAGGACAGAAATTTGAGGATTTATTTCTGTAATTATTTGACAGGGGAATCACTGTATTCTATTGTGACTAATGCAATAACAAAAAACTGACAGCTGTAATTATTACCTATGTGGACATGATTGAGAAGTGTTAACCTTTACTCCAGTCCATTTGAGCACTGCAAGAAAAATATGTATTTTTAACATTCTCTTCTGTAATTTTTTTGATAAGGACATGATTTGTGATGACGGATAAAAAATGTGTATTTATTGTAGTGGCGACTGGTGTTTATCAGAACAGTACTTTTGGTTTAGCAGCCATCTTACCAATGAAGTATACCAATGCCATAGTATTAGGAAATGTATGTATTTAAAAATACAAACAGGATTTGAACAATAATCCTTTAAAACTCTTGAAAATTTAGTTTCAATAGTAATTATTGAAAAGAATTTAAAACATCAAACACAATATTTTTTATATTAAACATAAATTTACTTTACATAGACATGATTTTAAGACATTTCTCCATTTTACAGAAATACAACAGTTTTCATAATCAGTTTTTTTTTTAGCTTAAATTCTCAATTAGTATTTATTTGTCTTTATTGAAAGTTCATTTTCATATAAATCCAAAAGTTTTTAAAATGATTTAGAAAAATATAAAAAGTTTACAAAAACACACAAAATGTTTAGAATTAGGTTTTGTGATATCAGATTCTTCTAAAGTATTACTTGGACTGTAATGAAATGGTAAAAAAAGTTTCTTGAGAACCAATTCTCAACCATACATGATAGAACAAGATGGAATATTAAGATGATGTACAAAAATAAAGTGTTTTTGTCTTTTTTCTGAATATATAATTTGATGTTTGTTAATGTATATTCAAATTACAACTTCTTTTTCAGAACTTGTCTGGTGTATTCATTGCAGTAATTAACCTTGTTTGCTTGGCATGTAAGTTAACAATAAAATCATAAAAACCTTTCATTTTGGGATGTTCCAGAATTAAATGTATGCGGGGGGGGGGGGGGTCAGAAGGCACTTTTTTTTGCACCCACCATGCATTAATTTTAATTACCTACTACCCCCACCATGCACAAAATAAAAGTGGAAAATAACCACCATGCATAAAATTAAATAAAAAAATGTTTAATTCTTAAATGTTGCAATTACTGTTAGTTTTATTTAATCTGATGGATTATATACAAAGGTAAAACTTATTATTGATATCTAATAAAGTTTCCTGCATGCAGGGTAATATATGCTAACCAACAGGATCAAAATATATCACTATTAGTTTTTCACAGGAGTCTTGCTTGCATAAACTGTAGTCTATCTAGGTTTTTGTTTTGTTTAAATGTCTGCAATGTTTGGTCTCTCTGTCATTAAACGTTTTCTCTGTGTTAGTAAAGAGCTCTTGTTCAGAGCATATATGTATATTGAAAATTCTAGTTTGATTGGATCATTTTTATTTTTGAGTAATCATAGTGTGAATTTTTATGGCCATAAAGCAAGCAGTCCTGATTTTTAAAATATGTAACTACTCCAGCATTGAAATGAAGCATGGAAACATAGAATGGCAGTATTATAATTTTATTTCTTTTCTCCTCTAAAATTTAGGAGGGAGGGAGCAGGATGGAAAAAGTAAAGTAAATTTGGTCTGGCCAACAAACAAAATAAGTATGAGAAAGGTTATATTATTTGGGTTCACTTATTATACTACAGGAAAAATAATTTAATATTGGTCCTGGGTATCCCATGATAAAAAAATTTAAATGGGCAGTGTGTTCCCTAGAATTTTTTTTTAAATTCCACCCACCCTCTTTAAAAAAAAATTGACGGGTTCTCCTAGTGAAAGTGCTTTCAAATTCTTCCCCATTCTACTTAGGCCTTCAAGAGAGGGCAAAGGTAGAAACCAGGCAAAGAGATTGGGGGTGAAGCTCTCCTTATCCTAAAAGAACTTCATCTCTCTGCAAAAGATAGGTAATTAAAACCATGTAAAAAAAAATAATAAAAGAATACATAGAGTGAGAGACCCATATTCGCCGCATAATTCGTTCATTTCCACTTACATCCGACCTACATTCGAATATTTGGAACTTTATGAAGGTTTCAGAAATTTAACTATATGAAAAAAATGTTTGATAAACATGATAAAGAAATTATCTTCAAAACATTGGTTAATTGTTCTAAAATCGAACGCAAACTCAAGAGGAAATCAAGTTGCTTGTGTACCATGGGGGACACATTTTCGCCGCAATGTATGATATGACCATCCTCATTATCCTGGTATATTATAAAAACGAATGTTTGCAATTACATGAATTAGCTTGAGAGATCATTCCTATACGATTTTTCTCACAAATATTTACTTTAAGACTGCGCATGATTGCCATATAAATCTTACATAATTGCCAAAATCATTTAAAAACACCTGCATATTTCTCAATATGTGCGAATAACCTTGGAAATGGGGTAAAGAGGAATATCAACAGTTGTAACATTACAAACAGCCTTTACCATCTATTTAGGCAAGTATTGGGTAAAGACACACAAATTTTACAGAAAAAATAGCAAAACGGCGAAAATGTGTCCAAGGCGAATATGCGCCACCCACTCTACCTGGAAGTTAATTTTGATATTTAAATTATTTCTGATAGCTTAGACCTTTTTTGTTCATTAACCGTTACATCTCATCCCCCCTATTTTACAAGTCGTTTTTTACCCAAGAAAATATTCATCAGAACTCTATTTCAAACCTATGAACAATTCTCTTTTTGCCTATGGTTACATCTTTATGGTTTTCCAGGCCAACAATAAACTTAGTTTCGTATCTCTGATATACGAAGCTAGTAGTTATTTGCGTATCTCAAAGTACATTGTAATTTTAATATTTTTTAATATAAAATCTGATTAATAGCCATTTACCATGACAAAAAATATAATATTTTAAAAGAATGCTAATGTCCCAAAACCAAGGTTTTTTTTTTCTTCAACAAAGTTGAGGGACAATTTTGGGCACCATCCGTGTCCATTCCAATTTTAAGTAATGAGAACTTCTAACATTTTAAAAACAATATACCGGTATCTTTTGGAGGTAACCATCCAGGCAAAAGTAAGTCACTGGATTTATATGGTGTAGAACAAGACAAACTAAGATAACATAGACTTATGTTATTCTACATTTTTCCTAATTAAGGGAAACAAATATTCATTTTAAACCTATTAATACTTTCTTTCTGAACCATTATCATTAATGATAAAGTGTAATATTTGCCAGAACTTTTGTAAAGGCAACTTTCAAAACAAGTAGAAGTTATTATTCATGTTATTATTTCAGTGGCACCTGATCCTAGAACCCAGGCTATCTACTATTTTGTTACAGCTATTGTTATCTTGTTGGTAGCTTTTGATGCATACTTCCTTCTTCCTGTCACTGTAAGTATTTCTGTTAACTATTTGACATGTTTGTTTTTAACTAGAAAATGCAATTTTTACTGGGAACGAACCAATAGAACACTTTAGAATGCTTAAATAGATGCCTCTGCTTAATCAAATACAGTGCAAATTCCTATTCTTTGATTTATGCACTTAAATGACCTGTTTAGTTGCAAACGATTCAGCTATCATGTGCAGAAATTTTAAAAATAACCTTTTTCCCACTTGCCTGATAAAAGTAAAATTAAAGTTTTGCAGGTAAAAATTGAGAGAATCTGCCGAATGGCAATTTAAAACCTTATTCAGGATAATGCAATCATATTGTAGTCTTGTTTGGGGGCAAAATATACACAAAACAATCTCGGGGTTACGGATTCTTTATTTCAAAGTATATATATTTTATTAGGGCCCCGCCTAGTGGCGGGTCGCCCTATAGTGATCAGTCTGTCTGTCCGTCCAAAACAAATTGTGTCCGCTCTATATCTAGAGAACCGTTATAATTTCATACTTTATACTTGACATGTATATTAACCAACACCAGAGGGTGTGTCATAATGTTTGTACAACTTCCTAGGTCAAAGTTCAAGGTCAGCAGGGCCCACAGAGATGGCTCCCATCTCAATGATGTCTAGTTAATGGGTGTAATCTAATTAAATAACTATATAGCTTTAAAACATTATGTTAACAATTATGAACAAGAAAACTGTTTACTTTTCTGAGCATTACAATAATAAAAGAATAATATATAATTTCAGTAAGTTTGGAAAATAGTGATCTCCAATTCTATTGTTTAACTAAATACAAATATCTAATCATAATTCATATTTCGGTGCATTAGTACACATTATAACAGTCATGTAATAAACTATTAAATACCAAATTTAAACAAACATATTTAAGAATAACATATACATTCAAAGCAAAATATATGTGCAAACAAAACATTAAGCACTTTCTAAAGCAGACATTACAATTATAAAGTATAACGCACAAAGATTCAACATAACAAAACCTACCTCACAGGTATCTGTAGAAGCTTGAAATACGATTATAACAAATCATGTCAGGTTGATGCAAACATGGTGCATCATCAAAATGGTGAATACCTGCAGTACAAACATTAAAATCACAACTAACCTATTCTTAATATATATGACTTTATTTAGTATCTGAAATTATTATAAAACATTCATTCTATAAGATTCAATAGTTTAATCCAATTTACTGAAATTATTATAAAACATTCATTCTATAAGATTCAATAGTTTAATCCAATTTACTGAAATTATTATAAAACATTCATTCTATAAGATTCAATAGTTTAATCCAATTTACTGAAATTATTATAAAACATTCATTCTATAAGATTCAATAGTTTAATCCAATTTACTGAAATTATTATAAAACATTCATTCTATAAGATTCAATAGTTTAATCTAATTGACTGAAATTTCAATAGTTTAATCCAATTTACTGAAATTTAGCTGTTTATATAATTTACCATATTTAACCATAAAAACACAATTATTAAAGAGATTTTAATAGATATAAGAAGATGTGGTATAAGTGCCAATGAGACAACTCTCCATCCAAGTCAAAATTTATAAAAGTGAACCATTATAGGTCATAGTAAGGTCTTCAACACGGAGCCTTGGCTCACACCGAACAGCAAGCTATAAAGGGCCCCAAACATTACTAGTGTAAAACCATTCAAACGGGAAAACCAACGGTCTAATCTATATAAGAAACGAGAAACACTTATGAACCACATCAACAAACGACAACTACTGAACATCAGATTCCTGACTTAGGACAGGTACAAACAATTGCAGTGGGTTTAAACGTTTTAATGGTACCAAACCTTCACCCTTATCTGAAACAATAGTGTAACATCACAACATAGAAAGCCACACTATAAGATATCAATTGAAATTGAAATGGCTTAACTCAATCAAAAGACATATTAACACCAGTGAACATACACTGAACAAATAAATTTAATCTATGATACAATGTAAATACAAAGTCATAAATTGATAAAGACATCAAATATCTCATTTTAAGTTCTTTTATATTTTCTATTATTACATTTACATATCAAATGTATACATCATTCAAACATGCATTCATTCATAACATTCATAAATCATGCATAAATTTGGTTATAAGTATAGATAATTAATATATTAGTATAAGAAGAAACATCAAAACCAAACTCCAAAAACAGAATATAATTATACAATTTACTAAGACTAGAAAATGGTGTCCATTATCAAAAACTGACCATCTAGAATATATACTTCCAGCCAAAGAATTGAGAACTAATCAATGCCAATAAAACCTCATTCAAACACCTGATAAAGCCACACCTGAGCGAACCTGAAATTTACACTCAGTATAGTTTAACCATGCAATAATCTTACGGTAATAAACATAATACTACAGTAGTGATAACTATATCTTCTGAAATAATAAAGTTAAATTAAAAATAGAAATATCAAACTTACATATAAGATAAAAATATTCTAAAATACCTATCAAACTTACGTATAAAATAAAAATATTCTAAATTACCACTTTACCACAATATAATGGTTAAATTCAGACAAGATGCCTTCTCAGGAATTTTGTGATGTATGAACATGTAGTAATGATTATTATTATACTGAACATTAAACAGCCAGCCAGCCATCCATCTTCAAAAGTGTTATTTATTATTATGACCTGAACATAGTTTAAACGTTCAGCAATTAGTTATTAAGTGTAGATACATGTATTCTTTTAGGGCTAGCTGTAATCACTTGTACTTACCCTATAGATAAGTAAGTCAACAAATCTGATTCTATCTTTGTCTCTACAAACTTAACATCTGCTGATTTAATGACTGTGAGAATAAAGCTTTTGATGGACTGATGATTTAATGATGTGTGAAAATTCTGCAGTAGATGCCACTTCTTTTTGTCAGGTCTTTTTATTTACTTACTATGTACCCCAGACTAAATGCAGAGATTTCTTCCTAATGTTACATATCAGAAAAGAAAAATAATATTAAAAATGTATCTTCTCCAATGATTTTTTAATTTACGCCTAAAGTGCAAAGTTTTTGTAAAATGTTTTAAAAACATTTTAGAAAAAATATAATTAGAGTAAATTGTTGGTCCTTCTCTAAAATTGAATGAAGTAAAAGTTACTTAGCTTTGCCTAATGTAATTTGCAAATGTAGTTGTTTTTCTTAATACATGTATAATGTCTTGTGCAAATGCTTTCATTTCTGCTAATTTAAAAGATAGCTTTATTTTTTGTGATAAACATATTATCTGTAGTTGACCATGATACTTAAGATCACAGACGTTCCCTTAAATCTTTATTTGGCAAGACAAAATGTATGACACTTCGCAAAAGTGAGTGTTACCCGATGCCAATAGGTCAAGTGTCAAGAATCAATGTCTATTGTATGATGAATCAGTTGTATTTTACATCAATCTCCTTATTTGACAAAACTTTTGAAAGTTTCATATCAGTGATTTTGCCAGAGCTCGTCATTTTCGTCATTTATGAAAAGATTTTCTAAATGACATAAGTTTTTTTGATATAATTAGTCACTAAAATTTGTAAAAAAAATTTCGTACGGAAATCTTCAATTTTACATGGCGTCATTTTTATGACAAGTTTACGACCCAGAGCTAATCAACATTCACAGAAGTTGTCATAATTTGTTGTTACAGGTAATCTGCCTATCTGATAGGAAAAAAATAATTTATTTGTCAATAGAATCGGTCAGTGGACATTTTTGATTTTAATCAATTTATCATACGATCATTATTTGCAACGTTTACCGGAGTTTCATGATACAAATGTACTTAACTACAAGATGAAAACTGTAATGAACTCAATCAATTATCTTGAAATCTGTATAATTTTGAAGATTAGACATGTTTCTGTCCAGTTCTGATTTAATATCGACGCCATTAATTTTGTATTCATTTCTACTGTGTGTAAGCCTCCTCTGGTAGGAACACCTCTAATCCAAGGAAGACAACTCAAGTTTATCCTTTTCTCAATACTGATAGACAAACTCAAGAACTGTCTGATAGTATATCCTTCTACAATTAAGGTTGAAAACATATGTAGGTCACTTCAGTCATGGTGCCTAAATGAGGAGGTCTTTGGGGGGGTCTTCATTATTTATTCTTATTTTATTTTTTTTGCCATTTTTCTTCATCTTAATTCATTATACCCCCGCTTTAAAAAAGTGGGGGTATACTGTTTTACCACTGTCAGTCCGTCCATCCGTCAGTCTGTCCATCCCTCCCATGAATATTTTTCAGCTATACCGTGTAATGCATTTTCAAATTCATCACTCAACAATTTCCTGTTTACCGAACACTTACATCATTTTACAATAACTATTTAGATATTCCAAATGCATATGTGTGCGGGGGTATCATCAGTGAGCAGTAGCTTGCAGTTTCACTTGTTTTGATAATTATTTTCTATTTTTTATGCCCCTGCCGTAGCGGAGGGGGCATTAAGTTTTACCCTTGTCCGTACATACGTCCCAAAATTGGACGTTCTAGAGTAATGCCCCTTTACAAATGAATAAAATTGCTGAATTTTTCGTTTCCGTTCTATAACTTTAGTTTGCCTCAACCAAATATTATGAAACTTATACATAATGCTTATAACCACAAAACACAGATCAAGTTTGAATTTAGTTCTATATTACCACCCTATAACTCCCTATTCTTTATTTTTTTGGTCCATTTGTTTGTATTCTTTGTTAATCAACCCATTATCTTTATTCTGTAACACATCCAGATCCTCAGCTGACATGGCTAAGGACAGGAAACTTAAATCTTACTATTTTTTCTTGGGTGTATTCTAAAGGGACTTGTCTCAGAAATAAGATGCTAGGTGTTCTATTTTCAGGCAAATAGCAGCTATTTTATGTTAACAATAATATCTATTTTAGATGTCAAAAAAGCTACTTTTTAAATGTGATATGCATCTTTATTAACATATCAGTTTTTATTTTGTTTAATCTTTATTATTTAATATTTTTGTATATATACTACTGAAATGCTGAAAAAGAAAATGAAAGATCACATTAAACATGTTTTTGCGTGTATTAAAGCCCTTGTAACAACTGCCCTAGACTTATGCTGTTACCCAAAATAGGTCTGTTTCATATAATGCAAAAGTGACTAAAGCCCTCAGAATCCAAGCTTAAACCCCCCTGTTTCATATGCAGTATAATTTACCTTCAAATGTTAATTCACGATTGTCAAACTGAAGAATCTTAGATATTTATCTTAAGTCACTCACTTTTGGTAAAAAGCAATATGAAAATTAATTCAATCTTTAGGGGCCAGATTAGTTTGTTTAATACAAGTAGATATAAAAATCAAACAATTTATTTTTTCAGAATTTTTACAAATATTACAAAGATATGGTTGCCAGGAAACAGAAACATCACCATGCTACCAGCAGAACTTGTTCACAAACTTGTGGGATGTATTTAATGGTCTTTAAAAAGGTATGATGGTCATAGTTGAATGTCATTTAACAATTAAACATTATAAGAAATATTTTTGTTGCAATATACATTTGGAGTATACATCAATGAGACAGCAACCCAACTAAACAAATAACCATAAGAAATCTAGAAGTCAGCATACAATATTCATCAATGGAAATGTGTCTATACAGTATGTAGAGCTCTTAATTGCCTAGGGTCTAACAAATTGTGAATAAAATAACAGTCTTAAAATATCAACAAAAATTAATGAAAAACTAAACTTAATAATTATGATATGGTTAATGCAGATTTAAATTGTCTGAATTTAGATATTTGTTTTGATGAAGAAACAATTTTTTTCCTAAATTTCTAATATCTTCTGTAAAATTGATGCTTTACAAATAATTACAATTAAAATATATGAATATATTGACAGATCTGGGTACAAGCTGTGAGTGTATGGTTTGTTTTTTTCGTTACCTTGGCAATTTTTCCAGGAGTATGGGCTAATATAAAGAGAATAGATTTCCCTTTGGAAGGTAAGCAGATAGGTTAAAATAGATTTTTGTCACGCCTTGACGGAGTTTGGAGACTCATTGATTTTGCTCAGTTCTTATTATTTTTCTTCTTGGGGTCTATTTAGGGGTATTTTGAGGGGCCTACAGGAGGGATGGATTTACTATAGAACCCTATGGGATTTTTATTTTTTTATAAATTTTCAAATGACTATAACTTGAAAACAGTAAGTGATAGACACACACAGTCTTCAGTAATGATAACAGGACAATAAAACAAATCAAATAAAATATAGGTTGCATCCCTGGGGTCAGCCCCCTTTAATTTGAGAATGTGCTTTTATCGTGTTAACGGTCAAGATCCCCACACCTAAACCATATATATTCTTGTATGGGACAATAAAACAAATCAAATTAAATATTGGGGGAGTCCCCAGGGTTACCTCATCCCCTTCTGTTTGAGAACTTGTTAACTGTCGAGATCCCCACCCCTAGACCATATATATTCATGTATGACACAATAAAACAAATCAAATGAAAAATAGCAGGAGTCCCTATTGGTCACCCCCACCCCCTCCTGTTTGAGAACTTGTAAAATGTGGAGATCCCCACCCCTAGACCATATATATTCATGTATGACACAATAAAACAAATCAAATGAAATATAGCAGGAGTCCCTCTGGGTCACCCCCACCCCCTCCTGTTTGAGAACTTGTAAACTGTTGAGATCCCCACCCCTAGACAATATATATTCATGTATGACGTAATAAAACAAATCAAATGAAATATAGCAGGAGTCCCTCTGGGTCACCCCCGTCCCCTCCTGTTTGAGAACTTGTAAACGGTTGAGATCCCCACCCCGAAACTATATATATTCTTGTATGACACAATAAAACAAATCAAATGAAATATTGGGGGAGTCTTCGGGGTTACCTCATCCCCTTCTGTTTGAGAACTTGTAAACGGTTGAGATAACCACCCTTAAACCATATATATTCTTGTATGGGACAATAAAACAAATCAAGTGAAATATTTGGGGTTACCTCATCCCCTTCTGTTTGAGAACTTGTAAACAGTCGAGATCCCCACCCCTAAACCATATATATTCTTGTATGGGACAATAAAACAAATCAAATGAAATATAGCAGGAGTCCCTCTGGGTCACCCCCACCCCTTCCTGTTTGAGAACTTGTAAACAGCCCACATCCCCACCCCTAGACCATATATATTCATGTATGAGACAATAAAATAAATCAAATGAAATATAGCAGGAGTCCCTCTGGGTCACCCCCACCCCCTCCTGTTTGAGAACTTGTAAACGGTCGAGATCCCAACCCCTAAACCATATCTATTCTTGTATGGGACAATAGAACAAATCAAATGAAATAAAGGGAAAGTCCCTGGGGGTCACTCCATCTCCTCCTGTTAGAGAACTTGTAAACGGTCGAGATCCCCACCCCTAAACCATATATATTCATGTATGGGACAATAAAACAAATCAAATGATATATAGGGGGAGTCCCTGGGGGTCACCCCCACCACATCCTGTTTGAGAACTTGTAAACGGTCGAGATCCTCACCCCTAAAACATATATATTCTTGTATGGGACAATGAAACAAATCAAATGAAACATAGGGGAAGTCCACGGGGGTCACCCCACCACCCTTCTTTTTGAAAACTTGTAAATGGTCAAGATTCCCACCCCTAAACCATATATATTCTTGTATGGAACAATGAAACAAATCAAATGATATATTGGGGAAGTCCATGGGGGTCACCCAATCTCCTATTTTTTTATACGCCCGTTTACGGGACTTATTATGGTATACCGTTGTCCGTCTGTCTGTCCGTCCGTCCATCTGCCGTCAGACATATCGGACATTAACTCGAATACGCTTTAACCAATTTGCATAAAACTTTTGGAATTGTTTATATCTATTCACGTGAGCTCCCTTTCGTTTTTTATAAATTTTAGATTTTACGTTTCCGAGTTATGGGGTTTTATTCATTAAAAAAAGAGGGATTTTCCAGATTTCGGACAATAACTCAAGAATGCTTTCACCAACTTGCAAGAAGTTTTGGTTAATTGTTTATATCTATTGACATGAGCCCCCTTTAGATATTATAAATTTTAGAATTTACGTTTCCAAGTTACGGGGTTTTATTCATAAAAAAAGGGGGGGTTTTTCAGTTTTTGGACAATAACTCAAAAATGCTTTCAGCAGTTCTCATGAAACTTTGATGAATTGTTGATATCTATTGATGTAAGGGCCCTTTAGAATTTTATAAATTTTAAATTTTACATTTCCGAGTTTTTGGGTTTTTATTCATTAAAAAAGGGGGGATTTTCCAGTTTTCAGACAATAACTCAAAAATGCTTTCAGCAATTCTTATGAAACTTTGGTGAATTGATTATATCTATTGATGTAAGCTCCCTTTACAATTTTATAAATTTTATTTGTTTATAGTCTGACAACAGATTTAGTAAGTATAGCGCAACAGCAGTGTATTGCACAACAGCAAGAAATCTTTAATTGAATAGTGTTACGCTCTGGTCATTGGCCTCATGTCATAAACTTAAAACGTGTATTTTTCATTTTCTAGTTGTGGCCTTCGTTCCACACTTCTCCATGCAGATGTCCCTGGATACGCCTCGTATGGTATTTTTATGAAAGGAGTGGGTTACCTGAACTTAAATCTATTAAAAGATGCTATTTAATTGATGTATCATCTTCATTTACAGGTGCATTTGTCCAAATTCGTCTCTGTTCATCGCTACTTTCACTTTTCGGCACCATTCTGTAAGTTGTGTATTTTCTTGTGCATTATGTCAATTGTGGGCGGAGCCAAAAGTATAAATAGCAAGTTTCCATGCACCGAGTGGGCTTTTCACCTCAATGCAGAATGTTCATGGTTTTAAATTGTAAACACAATCATATTGCACCAAGCTAAATATTATTTACGCTGGAATATGACAAAATCATATAAGCTTCGGACAGAAATTGGTAAATGTCTTCTCCAAAACTTTATAAAAAGATTTTAATTCATTGATCAAAGACTACCCTGAAACCCTGTCGTCTGCCGTATTGCACCAAACTGTGTAGTCGGTGTTTACATTTTTGCTAGCACCAAGCAGATTTGCTCGGTGCTGCACCAAGTGAAATTACTTGGTGAAAAAGTATTTTTATTTAATAGAAAGCTTCTAAATATTTAATTATTAGTCTTTTATTCATCCTTATGAAATTATATGAGGTCCAATTTATATAACCTGCACAAAGCAGGGTCCCAAATTATTTGCTGTGCATCAAACTAGATTTTCTTGCACCAAGTGCTAGTAGGAATCATTATTGAGTATTTTTAGGGACAAATGCACCAATATTTATTATAAGATATATCTCTATTCATGTGTTTTATGAACTGCTGTTGTATTGCTTAAGCAGAAATAATAGAATTAATACAATTTATGAACTCCTATATGATGTTTATTATTATTTCCTTCACCAGAGGCCCACATAAGTAATGACGGGTATAGACAAGAAAACCCTGGAACATTACAATATAAATTCAATTCTGACATATACTGTAAATTAAGAAATTATTGCGATGTTTTTATTATTGCGAAAAATGCGACAGGGTTATAATCGCAATAATTTAAACTCGCATTTTGAAATATTTTATGTGAATTAACAGGATTGTTCTCAAAATCGCAAAAATTAGAATCGCATTTTGTCTAAAATGACAAAATCGCAATAATAAATGTACGCAATAATTTCTGAATTTACAGTAACCAATTTCAAGTTCTTTGACTACATTTATTCAGAAACCTATAATATGTCAAATATTTAATTACAATCCAAATTAAGACCTGTATCAAGCTTGAATATTGTGTCCATTTTTGCCCCAACTGTTCAGGGTTGGACCTCTGTGGGCATATCCAGCTGCGCTCAGCGAAGCAGTTTATAAACATTCAAATTGGTTTAAACAGGATGAAACCTGTTGTATCAAAACAGAAAAGTGTGCATTTTCCTCTTAAATCTGAGCTAGATGACAGATTTAATGGCCTTATGGTGCAACTCAGTTCTTCATTGTACCATATGCGATTTTGTTATAAAATACCAAATGTAAAGAAACATCACTGCCAGCATAAAAAGTAAAGTCATTGTAATAATCATGCAGAAAAATCAGTCATAGGAAATTTGAGTTTTTTCTTCATTATTATACTGCATTCTTTTCCTTGTTTGGCCTTTTTAGCTTTTTTGATTTGACCGTCACTGGTGAGTTTTGTGGAAAAAAAGTGTGTCTGGTGTTAAATTTTTGATTCAGCCATGCTGGATCTATGCGATCACTCTGGTTTTGGAGATGGTGCACAATTCTAAGTTGAAGACATGTCATGAAAATAATTATGTGTTTCTATGACTTGCAGAAACTTTATACACCATTTTAATCATCAACTGCCAACTTTTAATATGCTATTTGTCCTTAGATTATGAAAATGTTGGGCGAACAACTTATTTATTTTAGATATACACTTGCATATAGTTCCTTTGTAAATCAAAACTTATATTAAATTGCCATTTATTTATTAATGTGGAAAATGTGATTTATCAAATTTAAGCAGTTGATAAGAATAATGAAAGTGTTTTATCAGTATCTTATGTTCCTATAAGACACTGAATAAAATTTGGTTCAAGATGTGTATTGATATCAGAGTTGATTCCCACACTTTTTTGAAATGCTATTATTCCCATGCTTGCATTAGGCAAATGAGATTATTGATACAATAACAGTATGATGGACAGCTGCCATGATTTTCAAACAATTGCACTCAAAGTAAGTACTAACTAGATTAAACTCAACTCAATTGCAGTCTTAATTGACCACAGTTATATTGATATATTGTGAGTTGATAATCATACTGGTATTGAGGTCAAGACTTTGTGTATTCAATTTATTACACACCATTATTAAACTGAATGCACAAAATCTTGACCTAAATAGTTATAAAATCAGTGTCATAATCATTTGACATAAGTTAATAATTAAGGTCTATTTAAGTTACAATTATCCGTAATTTGTTGCATAACTCTTACCTGAGCATTTTCTGCAATAAATTTATTTGTATATTCCCCATTATCATGCTATTTAACAGTAATTGGAATTATCTCAGCATTAGGTATTTGTACATGTATATTTGAATACAGGAAATGTATTTTTTCCTTACTGAAAAATTAACACCAATTTAGATAAAAGTTAATTATTTATTTTTTGTTGTTGTTGAAAAAGTGCATTTTTAATGCCTCTTTCAGGAAATTATTAAGCCAGTTAGTTATATGGCATATAAAAAATATGCTACACATTTGAAGATTTCCCTTAACATTCTTGTCAGAATCATTGAATTTCAAAATTAATGTTTCAAAAAATAAAAAGATGTAAAAAAAATCTGACAGTGTCTTCAATTAAAATACCAAAATAATTTGCATCAATGTTGCAAAATCTCCATCTTTTGGCAATAGAATAGAAATTTTACAGAAAATTTATAAAAATGAAGATAACAAAATAATTATTGAAAGTATGGTCAGAAAAAATGTCAGACTAGCTACATAATTGGCTGAATCACAACATCCATGATGCTTTGATTTTTGCCTGGTATCTATGATGAGTTTATTTCTGGAAAATCCTCTTAATATTATCTTTCAAAGGTAAATATTTATTCTGCTGAATTAAATTGGTCTTTGTCATTACAATTATTGTATGTAGTCAATTTGTAGTATGTGTTGAAATCTATTAACTACTATAGTATATTTCTAATGTCTTTTTTTCAGACCAGTATTGGGCACCAATATTCTGCTTCCTGAGTTTCAATCTATTTGCTTTCTTAGGAAATTTGACCTCAGAATTTGTACGTGTGGTAAGTGGATTTATATCAATTAACAATACACAATCCAAACTTATATGCAAGTGTTCCCCATAGAACTGTACAATCCAAACTTACATGCAAGTACTCCCCATAGAACTGTTCAATCCAAACTTACATGCAAGTACTCCCCATAGAACTGTTCAATCCAAACTTACATGCAAGTATTCCCCATTGAATTGTATAATCCAAACTAACATGTAATTACTCCCCATAGATCTGTACAATCCAAACTTACATGCAAGTAATCCCCATAGAAATGTATAATCCAAACTTGCATGCAAGTATTCCCCATAGATTATAATTGTATAATCCAAACTAACATGTAATTACTCCCCATAGAACTGTATAATCCAAACTTACATGCAAGTAATCCCCATAGAACTGTATAATCCAAACTTACATGCAAGTAATCCCCATAGAACTGTATAATCCAAACTTACATGCAAGTATTCCCTATAGAATTGTATAATCCAAACTTACATGTAATTACTCCCCATAGATCTGTAGAATCCAAACTTACATGCAAGTACTCCCCATAGAACTGTATAACCCACCATGATAGAAACACTTGTTGTGGAAATCCCTGTTCTGAAATGTTTAAAACACCTACATAGCACCCCTGAAAGTAAGATAAAAGTTGATAACAGAAAACTCAAATGCTGATAAGAATTTTTTTTGATTTATCAAACAAACATTTTATAATCTTTTGTACCAACAACAACATGTATAATGATCAAACTTTTATCTGAAATCTCTCTTCACATTTAAAGACATTTGAAAATGCTCTCTAATAAATAATATAGTTTACAAGAACATTTAAAGGATGCTATATGCTGTAAAAATAACATTAAAACGAAATAGTAAAACAGAAAATGTGGACAACTTATCCAAATTCAATATCCACTGCTACAAATAATACTTTCACTTTGTATGACACAAGTTACTTATGATATTTTTTTTTGTGCCCCCGCCGTAGCGGAGGGGCATTTAGTTTTACCCTTGTCCGTCTGTAGGTACGTCTGTACGTCCCAAAATTGGTTTCCTTTCTATTACTTTAGTTTGCTTCAACCAAATGTTATGAAACTTATACACAATGCTTATTACCACAAAACACAGATCGAGTTCGAATTTTGGTGGCGTCATTTTTACTGTTCTAGAGTTATGCCGTTTACAAATGGAAAAATTCAGCATTCTCCAACTTAAGGTTGCCTCAACCAAATGTTATGAAACTTATACACAATGCTTATTACCACAAAGCTCAGATCAAGTACAAATTTGGTTAACGTCACTTTTACCATGGACACATTCCCCATGATAAATCATCATCAAAAGTTATACATAGAAATCTGCCAAATGACCCTCTCATCTATTAAAATAACTCCCAAAGTACCCTGAATACATTCATCTTTTAATAAATTATTATATAACTAAAGTTTTTATTTACAATATCGCAGAATTGTCAGGAAGTTGAGAATTGCTTAGATAAGTATTTGTTTTGAAGAACATGAATATTTCATCTTTTATGACTTTATTTTCCAGCCAGGACATAAATGGGTGTGGATTCCAGTTGCCATACGAGGATTACTTGTACCGTTCTTCCTAATGTGTAATTTTAAGCCAGAAGAGAGAATTTTTGATGTGATAATAGAAAATGACTACATCTACATTGTTGGAGGAGTAGTTCTAGGATTTACAAGTGGATATTTCAGTAGTCTCTGTATGATGTATGGACCAAAGTAAGTCAGTAGTCTCTGTATGATGTATGGACCAAAGTAAGTCAGTAGTCTTTGTATGATGTATGTACCAAAGTAATTCAGTAGTCTCTGTATGATGTATGGACCAAAGTAAGTCAGTAGTCTCTGTATGATGTATGGACCAAAGTAAGTCAGTAGTCTCTGTATGATGTATGGACCAAAGTAAGTCAGTAGATGTAGGGGAAGGAGGGGGGATCTACATTGTTGAAGGAGTAGTTCTAGGATTTACAAGTGGATATATCAGTAGTCTCTGTATGATGTATGGACCAAAGTAAGTCAGTAGATGTAGTGGAAGGGGGGATCTACATTGTTGGAGTAGTTCTAGGATTTACAAGTGGATATTTCAGTAGTCTCTGTATGATGTATGGACCAAAGTAAGTCAGTAGATGTAGGGGAAGGGGGGGATCTACATTGTTGGAGGAGTAGTTCTAGGATTTACAAGTGGATATTTCAGTAGTCTCTGTATGATGTATGGACCAAAGTAAGTCAGTAGATGTAGGGGAAGGGGGGGGATCTCCATTGTTGGAGGAGTAGTTCTAGGATTTACAAGTGGATATTTCAGTAGTCTCTGTATGATGTATGGACCAAAGTAAGTCAGTAGATGTAGGGGAAGGGGGGATCTACATTGTTGGAGGAGTAGTTCTAGGATTTACAAGTGGATATTTCAGTAGTCTCTATGATGTATGGACCAAAGTAAGTCAGTAGGTGTAGGGGAAGGGGGGGGGTCTACATTGTTGGAGGAGTAGTTCTAGGATTTACAAGTGGATATTTCAGTAGTCTCTGTATGATGTATGGACCAAAGTAAGTCAGTAGATGTAGGGGAAGGGGGGATCTACATTGTTGGAGGAGTAGTTCTAGGATTTACAAGTGGATATTTCAGTAGTCTCTGTATGATGTATGGACCAAAGTAAGTCAGTAGATGTAGGGGAAGGGGGGATCTACATTGTTGGAGGAGTAGTTCTAGGATTTACAAGTGGATATTTCAGTAGTCTCTGTATGATGTATGGACCAAAGTAAGTCAGTAGATGTAGGGGAAGGGGGATCTACATTGTTGGAGGAGTAGTTCTAGGATTTACAAGTGGATATTTCAGTAGTCTCTGTATGATGTATGGACCAAAGTAAGTCAGTAGTCTCTGTATGATGTATGGACCAAAGTAAGTCAGTAGTCTCTGTATGATGTATGGACCAAAGTAAGTCAGTAGTCTCTGTATGATGTATGGACCAAAGTAAGTCAGTAGTCTCTGTATGATGTATGGACCAAAGTAAGTCAGTAGATGTAGTGGAAGGGGGGGGGGGGCATTTTGTAAAAAAAAATTCTCACCACTTCACATTTCTTGGCTTGAATCAGTACTTAATTGGTCAATTCTTCTATCAGTACTGTGCATGTTAATTTTCATTTTCTATGTAGGTGAAAGGCAACAGTAAAGTAAATAAAACTAAGGAAATGTGCTTAAAATGAAGGATATGATCAAAGTTAAAAATAAAAAAAAAAACATAAGAAAAAGAAAATTTAACAAACATAGCAAAAGTAATATACTTAATAAGATGATTCAAATATTTCGATTTTTTAAACAACTGCTCATAATATTACCAGAAATGATCACAGAACTTATTGAATAATTTGATGTTGTAGGTTGGTAGATCAGCAGTATGCAGGAACAGCTGGAATGATCATGGCATTCTTCTTGGTTTTGGGTATTGGTACTGGTGTCAACTTCTCTCTGATTTTAGGCTTGATAACAACCAGACCAGTGGCTTAATCATTAACCATCAGAGTACTGACTTGATCTCAACACATATCTTACAGATCAATAGAGTTGTGGAGAAGTGATGGAATCATTTTATTTGGGTGTCTGTTTTTATTGTTAATACAAGTTAATCTTCTTTTAAGAATAATAAGTTGACGAAGAGTGTTAATGGCACCTTTTTTATACGACCGCGGTCATATATTGGTATGACGTTGACGTTGGCGTCGTCGTCCGAAGACACATTGGTTTTCGCACTCTAACTTTAGTTTAAGTGAATGGATCTCTATTAAATTTTACCATAAGGTTCAATACCACAAAAGGAAGGTGGGGATTGATTTTGGGGGTTATGGTACCAACAGTTAAGGAATTTAGGGGCCAAAAATAAGCATTTTTGTAACTTCCAGACATAACTTGTGTGTTAGTGAATGGATCTCTCTGACATTGTACCACAAGGTTCCATATCACAAAGGGAATGCTGGGATTGATTTTGGGGGTAATTGCCTCCACATTTTTAGGAATTAGGGGCCAAAAAGGGGCAAAAAACAAGCATTTTTCTAGTTTCATGACAATAACTTGTGTGTAAGTAAGTGTATGGATCTCTCTGACATTGTACCACAAGGTTCCATATCACAAAAGGAATGCTGGGATTGATTTTGGGGGTAATTGCCTCCAAATTTTAGGAATTAGGGGCCAAAAAGGGGCAAAAAACAAGCATTTTTCTAGTTTCATGACAATAACTTGTGTGTAAGTGTATTGATCTTTATGAAATTGTACAGGTTCCATATCACAAAGGGAAAGCTGGAAATGAGTTTGGGGGTAATTGCCCAAAACGTTTAGGAATAAGGGGCAAAAAAATAAGCATTTTTCTAGTTTCCAGACAATAACTTGTGTTCAAGTGTATGGATCTCTCTGAAATTGTACTGCAAGGTACCATACCACAAAGGGAATGCTGGGATTGATTTTGGGGGTAATTGCCTCAAAATTTTAGGAATTAGGGGCCATAAAAGGGGAAAAAAAACAAGCATTTTTCTAGTTTCAGGACAATAACTTGTGTGTAAGTGTATTGATCTTTATGAAATTGTACTACAAGGTTCCATATCACAAAGGGAAAGCTGGGTTTGAGTTTGGGGGTAATTGCCCTAAACTTTTAGGAATTTGGGGCCAAAAAGGGGCAAAAAAACAAGCATTTTTCTAGTTTCCAGACAATAACTTGTGTTGAAGTGTATGGATCTCTCTGAAATTGTACTGCAAGGTACCATACCACAAAGGGAAGGCTGGGATTGAGTTTGGGGTGATGAATCATAAGGGGGTTCAAAAAATTGGGGGGGGGGGGGGGGGGGTTTCCTTATTTTTCTTTAAAATTTTCCATTTTAAATTGGTTATTTCTGATTTATATATAAAAGCAAATAATAATGATATGGTTTGAATAAGTAAATTAAAATTTTTAAGTTCTTAGACCACATTCATTCTGTGTCAGAAACCTATGCTGTGTCAAATATTTAATTACAATCCAAATTCAGTGCTGTATCAAGCTTGAATGTTGTGTCCATACTTGCCCCAACTGTTCAGGGTTCGACCTCTGGGGTCGTATCAAGCTGCGCCCCAGTGGAGCATTTTATTTTGAAAGTCCCTAATGTTAGTGTAAATTTTTCAGTCTTCCTACAATATAGAAAAGTTGTTAACTTACCTAGCCAAAAGCCGTAGTTAACTATTTTATTCACTTGTTGTCCATCACCAGGTAACATATCCTCCTCTTAAATCTTTAGTCAACCTAAACCAAAAGGCCATTCACAATCTGGGATGTCTAGTTAAAATTTTGTCAGATTTTCTTGCTAACCAACTAACATATTGACCGTAACTAAAATTAGAATATATGGGGTAAAACATTTGTTACACTTTTTGTTATGTGTTTATTATTTTTGGTGAAATGCTTCTGAATAGTTGTGTACAGATAACATAATGCTCAGAATTTTGTTACGGAGTTCCCGAAAGATTTTGCTTTATTTTATTTATTTATTTATTTTTTAAGGGGGTCAAGCTTCATAGTTTGTATGCCTCTAGATCAGCCTTGTAAGCCTCAGAATTGGGTAGCCCTGCTCTTTTTTTTTTCTGAGTGGGATTTTAAGAGTCATTCACTGCATGTTTGAGGCTGAAGTGGTAGCATACATTATTTACAGGATTGTTTCCTACCAGTTTCAGTGGATAAATACCATAAACCGAATGGGAAATTATTCTACAAACAGTTTTTCTTAATTTTTTTTTATTAGTTCAGATGAGTTAATTTAGATGATTGATGATAAACATTTCCATGGGTGAATAATTTAGTCTATGTACATTTGATTCTAGTTTAATATTGTGTTCAAGTAGAAACATGTGTAAGTCTCTGCTTATTGTTGGAGTAACTTTAATATTCTTTAATAAGTTTTGGTGCTTATTTTGTAACTCTACGGGTCTACCCACGCTTTACATGAATACATATAAATTTCTATAGTTGAAGTAACTTTAAGTTATTATTTGATAACTTTTCTTTTGGTGCTTTTTCTTGGTAGCTACTCTACGTCTACGGGTCTACCCAAGCTTTACATAAATTCTTTCACTGCCTCATTTATTTTTTCAAAACATGAATTCACAGGTGTATGAAGAAATTGAAATATCCATGCTCTTTATGTAGAGAAAATCTTCATAGATGTTCTCTTTACCATGGCCAGATTTCAGCATATTATTTATAGAGAATTTCATTGTTGCGAATGGCAATAACTTCAGATAATATTTCAATCTTATTTTTTATGCATTTAAATATTGCACTGCCATAATGGGCATTAATGAAATCATAGTACAAATATATATTAGTCACTGTCTACAAAATCTGCATGAAGCACAATCAAATTTGTGAAATGTTTAGTTAAAAGAGCATTTTATAAAACCATGACATAAACCTGACAATTTCCATTTACTGAAATCCATTAATTGTAAAGTCAATCATTTAAGTTAGTTTCAATCATCATTTTTAAAGTTTTTTAAACCCATTTTATCATTTTTATCAGTTCTTGCTCAATGGTCACTATATTTAATCTATCCCAGAATTGGTTATAAAAGTATTAAGTAATGTGAAAAACATGTTAAAGTTGTTTAAATGAACCATACTGTATGATTGGCCGTGACAAATAAAGGTAAGGCAAGGGATTCAATCCCTCCCTTTGTTCAAATTAATGGTGCAAACATATTTAAACTTTATGGGATAATCCCTCTTTTTTACAAGCTGAACCTGTTGAATTTTTCATTAAAATATTTCATGGATTTTCTGAAATAGGACCATGACTGAGCATAGAAGTGATGTTAATAAATTATATTAATCTAATTTCACCCTACCCCCTTGTTTTGTAACATAAGTGAAGTTGTTGGGTTGTAGCTAATGTTTATGAATGTCTAGAATACAATTTGTGAATACTGATATAATGATTATTGCTAAGAAATCTTGTTAACAGTGACATTAGATTTCATTGTTTACCTGTTAACAGTGACATTAGATTTCATTGTTAACAGCTTTATTTGTTACACCTGTTATTGATTACTTGTTACAAAGGATACATGTATGTTTGTTACTTTGTTAATGAAACTTATCAGTTATGACGAACATATTAATGTTAAGTTTTTTTATCCAATGATAACTTCTTTTCCAATACACAAATATCAATTATAGAATATTCTCTGCATTTTGATTGTTATCAAACCTTTTTATGATAGCATCACTAGTCAGCTGTGGCAGCAAATCTAATTAATTATTCTCTAAGACCATGCTAATCGACGTTATCAAAATTTATGTCTATTATTATGTAACGTAAGTTTTTTTTAATGAAACTTTTATTTTGGATTTCATTGTATTGTTATGTTTGATAATGAAAAAGCTTATTACCAGTATACCATTGTTAAAGGTAAAGAAAAGACCCACTATTTTAGACTGCCATGTGATGGATACATAGATCAGCAGACTCAGGGATGATATAATATAGCTGATTATGTTCCTCTGTAGAGGCATCTATTTAATGTGGAAAATATAATTGCATTTTAAACACTCTCTATCATACATGTCTTGTTAGATTTGTATTTAAAAAAATTAACCAAAAAAATTTTATTGGAGTTATTGCCCCTGGACTAATTGATGTACTGCACCTGTGGACATGGAATGCTGGTTGTTATGCCCCAGCCATAGGCAATGCAGGCATTAAGTGTTACACTTGACAGTCCTTCTATCCCTCCCATTTTCGTTTCCACACTCTAACAAGTTTTTCTCATCCAAAATTTATGAAACTCGTACACAATGCTAAGAACAAAAACTTAAAAGAGTTCGAATTTGGGCAGTGAGTCACTTACCGTTCTAGAGTTGTGCCCATTTTAACTTGGAAAATTGCAAAGCTTAAGCGTTGCTTGTCCTCAGATTTATTTTTCGTTTCTTTCTTTCTTTTTTTAAACATAGTTTTGAAAAAGAAAGAGAATGTAAATATTTTGATGCCAAATTTTATGATGACATAAAGTGATGCTCAGTTTCATTGATCAAGTTTGACTATCTATAACTTTATCAAAAATTTAATTTGCTTTTAACTTTTAGACAAAATTATATGGTTGATGTTGCATAGTTTCAGCATTTGACTGTATCATTTTGGTGGGACCATCGACCTTCAGTTAAAATCAATGAAATGGGTTTGTTGCATGTACAAGATTGAACTTTCATATTTACGTTTACTGTTTTATGACGATTTGTTTTTGAAGAATAGTAAGATATTGGTAGAATTTAAGTCTTCTTCTTTGAGAATATATAGAAAAGGAGTGTTTTTAAGAAATTTTGCATTGGTATGTTTTTTTATTCCATTTGTTACTGTCATGTGTGTGTGAGTGTTTTTGTTATAGTATTTTGTTTTGTAATTTTTTATAAACAAGTTTTTACTGTTTTTGTTGAAATTTTCTAACAATTTCCAGTCAGTTATATGACACCTGTTTTTATTTATAGTCCATAAATCTTGAAAAAATATAGATTAAAAACTTGATTTCTTGCTTTGTACAGTCTTTTTGTATGTATTATACAAACTGAGGAAAAAAGAATCTATTGAATTTACCCCCACTACAGAAAGATCACCAACTTAAATTAAATTATTGTAAACTTACTGCTCAAATTTTAAAAAATTGTCCAACTTTGTTTAATAAAAAATAATCAATTTGTAGAAATGAATTTTAGAATATTTCTGAAGAAATATGAAATACGGCCTATCAAATCACATGAAAAATATCCAAGTATTCATTTTGCTTGGCTGGACATTCTGTACAATTTTGGTTGCCTGGACATTCTGTACAATTTTGGTTGCCTGGACATTTTGTACATTTTTGCTTGCCATGACATTCTGTACAATTTTGCTTGCCTTGACATTCTGTACAATTAAAACTTCAAAAAAAATCATTCCAGTCTTACATTTCATTTTTCCTCATTCACAAAACCTATATTAATCTAAAGGTTTTAAGCTTCAAATCAGTTCTAATATATTTTTTTTTCAAAAATGTTAAATATTGGTACCAATGAAATCAAATGAATAGATTGCATTTGTATTTGTCTTACATGCCTGCCAACTCTTTGAAAGTCCCCATGGGGGTTTTAGTGAGCGACAACAATTCTTTTTTCGACAGATTTTGCGTGTGCTGTTTTGTGGTCTAGAAAAATTGTCATATTTGTATGATGAGCTTACAAGCCTTTTTCTAAAGTTTATTAGCATGATTCTAGTTATAATTAATATATCAGTAGAAAAGATGTATCTGTAGCTAGAAGACCAGGATTTATTTTCTTGTGTTAGGATATTAAATGATTGTTGACGTTTAAAATTTAAAATTATGCACAAAGAAGGACTTTTATCAGGTTGGGAATATCACCCAGGTATGGTCTTAGTTAAAGTACATGAAAAAGAAAATATAATGATTGATGAAAATGGTTATTTGGAAAGGGATTCAAGTGTTTCTGATGGTCTATAAAAAGACCTCATTCTGATGAATTGTTTTTCCAAATATTGTTTGTTTTCAGTTCTTGTAGAAATGAACAGGTATGTCCCAGACAACATGGTCTGACGTTATGTACATACTTTCACTTTTACTTTTATTTTAGCGGCAGTATTAAAAATTATTGTCTCATTTTGGATAGCAGTTAACAAAATTTTGTATTATTTAAATTTCTATGTTTTGTTGAGTGAGTGCTTGTGTCTTTATGTGCTTGTTTATGTTTGTGCTTGTGTCTTTTTGTGCTTGTTTATGTTTGTTGTGCTAGTTTTTTCTTTGTTTTTTTGCTATGTTCTCACTTTTTTGTTGCAC